TGAGAAATGAGAAAGGGATAATTTTCTGATTCTGTATGTGGATGTATCTACTAAACAAGGAGCAAAACCCTGACCTCCTCTTAGGAAATAAGGTAGGGCAAGTGACTGAGGTGTCAGTGGGGGAGCATTTTGGAGCCAGTGATCATAATTCTATTAGTTTTAAAATAGCTATGGAAAAGAATAGACCTGATCTACAAGTTAAAGTTCTACATTGGAGCAAGGTCAATCTTGACACTATTAGGCAAGAACTTTCAAAAGTTGATTGGAAGAGGCTATTCTCAGGTAAATGAATGTTTGGAAAGTGGGAGGCCTTCAAAAATGAGATAGTAAGCATCCAGAGACAATATGTTCCTGCTCGTGTGAAGATTAGGCAATGCCAGATGACTAGAGGAATTGAGGCTCTGGTCAAGAAAAAGAAGGAGGCATATGGTAGGAAGAGACAGATAGGATCGTGTGAATTCTACAAGGAGTATAAAAGCAGTAGGAATATTCTTGAGGGAAATCAGGAGAGCAAAAAGGGAACATTAAATAGCTTTGGTAACTAGAGTTAAGGAGAATCCAAAGAGATTCTACCAATACATGTAGGGTCAAAGATTAACTAGATAACATAGGAAATCAATGTGTAGAAACGCAGGAGATGGGTGAGATACTAAACTAGTATTTCATGTCAGTATTTAGTGTGGAGAAGGATATGGAAGATAGAGAATTTGGAGAAATAAATAGTGATATCTTGAAAAGTGTCCATATGACAGAGGAGGTGGTGCTAGATGTCTTAAAATGCACAAAGGTGGATAAATCCTGGGACCTGATTAGATGTATCCTATAACCTTATAGGAAGCTAGGTAAGTGATGGCAGGGCCCTTTGCTGAGATATTTGTATTGTAGATAGCCACAGGTGAGGTGCCAGAAGACTGGAGGATGGCTAATGTGGTGCCATTACTTTAAAAAAGGTGGTAAGGGAAAGCCAGGGAACTATAGATCAGTGAGCCTGATGTCAGTGGTGGGTAAGTTGTTGAAGGGGATTCTGAGGGACAGGATTTACATGTATTTGGAAAGACAAGACCTGATTTGGGATAGTCAACGTGGCTCTGTGCAAGGGAAATCATGTCTCACTAATTTGATTGAGTTTTTTGAGGAGGTGACAAAGAAGATTGAAGGAAGAGCGGTGGACCTTGTTTATATGGAGTTCAGCAAGGCATTCAATAAGGTTCTGCATGGTAGATTGATTGGCAAGGTTAGATCACATGGAATTCAGGGAGATTTAGCTGTTTGGATACAAAATTGGCTTTAAGGTAGGAGACCGAGGGTAATGTTGGAGGGTTGCTTTTCAGACAGGAGGCCTGTGACCAGCAGTGTGCTGCAAAAATTGGTGCTGGGTCCACTGCTTTTTATCATTTATATAAGGTAGATAGGATAGTGAAGAAGGTGTTTGGTATGCTTGCTTTTATTGGTCAGTACATTGAGTATGGGAGTCGGGAGGTCATGTTACACCTGTACAGGACATTGGTTAGGCCACTTTTGGAGAACTTGTGCAATTCTGGCCTCCCTGCTATAGGAAGGATATTGTTAAACTTGAAAGAGTTCAGTAAAGATTTACAAGGATGTTGCAAGGGTTGGAGGGTTTGAGTGATAGGGAGAGAGTGAATAGGGTGGGGCTATTTTCCCAGGAGCATCTGAGGCTGAGGGATGACCTTATAGACATTTATAAAATCACAAGGGGAGTAAATAGGGTAAATAGACAAGGTCTTTTCCTCAGGGTGGGTGAGTCCAAATCTAGAGAATGTAGGTTTAAGGCGAGAGGGGAAAGATTTAAAAGGGACCTAAAAGGCAAATTTTTCATGTAGAGGGTGATGCATGTATGGAATGAGCTGCTGGAGGCTGATACAATTACAACATTTAGAAGGCATCTGGATGGGTATATGAATAGGAAGGGTTTAGAGGGATATAGGCAAAATGGGACTAGATTTATCTAGGATAGTTAGCACGGACGAGTTGGACCGAAGGGTCTGTTTCTTTGCTGTACATCCCAATGACTCTAAATGCTATGTATATGAATATAGGAGGATTGGTTAGTAAGTTTGCAGATGACACTAAAATTGTTAGTGTAGTGAACAGTGAAGAAGGTTACCTCAGAATAAAACAGGACCTTGATCAGATAGGCTGATGAGCCAAGGAGTGGCAAAAGGAGTTTGATTTAGATAAATTTGAGGTGCTATGTTTTGGTCAGGCAAATCAGGGTAGGATGTATATACTTAATGGTAGGGCCTTGGGGTGTGTTGCTGAGCAAAAACACCTTGGGGTGCAGTTTCATAGTTCCTTGAAGATGGAGTCACAGGTAGGACAGGGTAGAGAAGAAGGCATTTAGTACGCTTGCATTCATTGGTCAGTGCATTGATTATAGGAGTTGGGTTGTCACATTGTGGCTGTACAGGACATTGATTAGGCCATTTTTGCAACACTGCATTTAATTTTGGTCTGTCTGCTGTAGGAAAGATGTTGTTAAATTTGAAAGGATTCAAAAAAGATTTACAAGGATGTTGCCAGGGTTGAAGGGTTTGACCTTTGGGAGAGACTGAATAGGCTGGGTAAAAACCAAAAGAACTCTGGATGCTGTAAGTCAGAAAGAAAAACAGAAATTGTGGAAAGTTCAGCAGGTCAGGCAGTGTCTGTGAAGAGAAATCAAAGTTAACATTTTGGGTCCGGTGACCCTTCCTTAGAGCAGTTCTCTGATTTCTCTTCACAGATGCTGCCATACCAGCTGAGCTTTTGCAGCAATTTGTTTTTATTTCTGAATAGGCTGGGGCTATTTTCTCTGGCCTGTCAGAGGCTGAGAGATGACCTGAGAGAAGTTTATCAGATCATGAGGGGCATGAATAGGGTGAATAGTCAAGGTCTTTTCCCAGGATAGGGGAGTCTAAGGCTAGAGAGCATATATTTAAGGTGAGAGGGGAAAGATTTAAAAGGGACCTAAGGGGCAGCTTTTCACACAGGGTCGTCCACGTATGGAATAAACTGCCAAAGGAAGTGGTGGAGGCTGGTACAATTGTGACATTTATTAGGCATCTGGATGGGTATATGAATACAATCATAGTGTCATAGATTTATACAGCACTTTCACCTTAAAATTATTCCCTCCAGTTTCAGACTCCCCTCCCTGGGGAAAAAGACCTTGGCAATTCACTCTGTCCATGCCTCTCATGTTTTTATAAACGTCTATAAGGTCACCCCCTCAGCTTCCTTTGCTCCAGGGAAAAAAAGCCCCAGCATCTTCAGCCTCTCCCTATGGCTCAAACTCTCAAATCTGGGCAACATACTTGTAAATCTTTTCTGAACCCTTTCAAGTTCATCACGGAAATTCAGATTTTAAAATGATGCGCATGACTAAACTCCCAGCCAGATAGTTGGCAGTCTTAGCAGAACTGTAGTAATGCAAAAGGTGCAACATTATTCCAAAACAAACCTTTCTCCTAGAAGGAAAAGACATGGATAGGACCAAATTCTACTCTGTCAGATGGGGAAGTGATGGCCTAGTGGTATTATTGTTGGACTGTTAATCCAAAGACCAAGGTAATGATCTGGGCACCTGGTTCGAATCCTGCCATGGCAAATGATGGAATTTGAATTCAATTAAAATCTGAAATTAAGAGTCTAATGATGACTAGAAAACCATTGTTGATTGTCAGGAAAAACCCATCTGGTTCACTAATAGAGATAGTAAGAACTGCCAATGCTGGAGTCAGAGATAATAAGGTGTGGAGCTGGAGGAGCACAGCAGGCCAGGCAGCATCAGAGGTGCAGGAAAGTTGTTGTTTCGGGTCAGGACCCCTCTCAGATTCACTAATGTCCTTTAGGGAAGGAAACTGCCATCTTTACCTGGTCTGGTCTACATGTGACTCAAGACTCACAGCAATGTGAACTGCCATCTGGGCAATTAGGGATGGCAATACATGCTGCCTAGCCAGCGACGCCCACATCCAATGAATGAATTTATAAAAGAGATCTGGCTTCTTCCCTCAAAACAGAAGGTGTCCCAAAGATAAGTAGCAGTCAACTTCTGAGCAATCTCTTCATAACTATCTCCTAGTACCAACCAAAAAATGCTTCCTCTCTTTCCTGTCCTTCCAAACCTGATCAAAGTGAACGGAAACATCAGTGCTTCACAGTATATGCAAAATACAAAAACATGCCATTCAGCAGAATTTATACAAGATAAACAATATCCAACAAACCATAAATACTGTATTAGATGACTGCTCAAAAATAGCTACCACAATTAGTTCACTGTAGTGTGCTGCAACAGAAAGAACACGCCTGAAATAGGTTGTCATCTTTGTCACTCTTAGCATATTTTGCACCCCCAGAACATTCTCCACTCTTTTGCTTTTTTTTTACTGGTTTCTCTACTGGAGCTGACTTCTTTCTCTTAGCCTGTACAATAGACAAAGGGAAGAGTCTGGAGGGATATGGGCCAAATGCTGGCAGATGGAACTAGATTAACTTAGGATATTGATCGGCATGGAGGAGTTGAACCGAATGTTTTTTTTTGCGCTGTACATCTTTGTGACTCTATTCACTTGGCACTTTGTAGTTCAGCCAACAGAGCTGTTGTCAGGCTGAATCTCTTAACTTGAAAGATTCATGGTGCCGCTCAGTCTCAAAATTCTTAATGTATTAAAATGCAACACTGTATCGCCCATCGACACAATATATGCAGCACTTCGTTTTTTAAACCTGCAAAACTGGATTTTAGGTTATAGCAATCCAACTTGCATTTCAGTTTCCAAAAAGGAAAACGTGGTCCCATACACAAAAGACACAATTATCCGAATGATTTTGTCTGCCCCTTAATAGTTTGATTGTGGCTCAGGTAATAATCCACTGATCGAGGTACTGCTTTTCAATTCAACCACTAGCTGTTTATAATCCCTCAGCAAAGTCTCTTTCCCGCTCAGTTTGGGACGTGCATGCAGCGCATAACTGAGTTCTGCCCTGTTCCCTCCTGGCCGCCGGAAGGCGCTGTCTTTGAAGTCTGCAGTGCTTTACCCCCTCGCCGGAGGGCGGCGCTGCCCTGTAATTGCGGGTAAAATGGCGGCGCAGGAAGGCGGCCTTGACCGGGCCCTGAGCGTGAAATACTCCCGGGCAATGAGGCTGGCGGAGGTAGAGTCGAAGCAGGATCCTGAGTCGGAGCCTTATCGTTCCAAGTACGCGGCTCGGGAACTGCTGAAGGAGCTGAAGGCAGCGTTGGGCCCGCGGGACGATGAGCCTCTCCAGGCCGGAGACTGGCTGCAGAAAGCTGCGGTGCTCGAGCTGCAGCTCGGCCTCAACCACACAGAGACAGAGGAGCTGTCCGCCGGCGAGGAGCACCTGGCCAAGTGCATCCAGATCCTGGAACCCTTCAGGCTTAGCCCCGGGGCCGTGTCCGTCTTTCTCCAGGCCGAGGTGAGGAGGCAGCGCAGGTCTCCTGGCAACCGGAACCTGGGGGGGGGCAAACACAACCCCCACAAGGGGCAGGTCCCTGAGATCACCCCCACAACCGGAGGATGGCATTGGACAAGGAGAGCAGAGGTTGCGGGGGTTAGGCAGGGGGCGATAGGGAGGATGTGAGGCGAGGGAGTGGGACAGCGGTTTCCTGGAGAGAATCAGACAGGGACAGGCCTTGGAGGGTGTGGTTAGGGAGGGCACCAGACAGAGGGGACAGGGCCTGGAGAGTGTGTCTGGGGGAAGGAGGACAGAGCTTGGAGGGTGTGGTTAGGGAGGGGACCAGGTCCCATTGCAACACATTGTATTAAAGAAAGCGAATGGAATCACGAGAAGTTGTTCAACACGATAGCAAGTTCTGCCGGGCAGAGGAGGTCAGTGGATGGGACTGATTGAGCCTCTGTTTAAGAAAAAGTCCAGCGCCCTCAAGTGTGGTGGGAGTGGAGGCACATACTGGGTGATCAGGATGAAGAGGAGACATGGCTACAAAATCGGAAACAATTGACGTGGCAGAGGACGCTCAAGGAATCTCGGATATAATTGGAGATTGGAAAAGAGAAAAAAATAAAATCAAGACAGGATGAAATCAGTCGAGTGAGGAAGAAACAGATTGAATCAGTGTGCCTCTCAAAGCAGTCCTGTTTGTGAATCTTGGGAAACAAACAGAAACAGCCTGTTCAGGATTGGGAGATCATCAGAGTAAAACATGTAGATGCTGAAGATGTGAAAAGAAAATTGAAATTGCTGGAGAAAAACAGGTCTGGCAGCATCTGAGGAGGAAAGGCAGAGTTAACATTTTGAATCCAATGACCCTCTTCAGACAGTCATTACATTGAATAATGCCATTATATTTCTGAGTTTCTCCATCAATTTCTGTTTTTGTTGGAAATTGTGGAGGAAGATGTCCAGAGGAGATGAGGTCAGTGATAGTGCAAGAATAAAGGTTCAATGTTCAGTGATGGGATCATGGTTCAGGGAGGTAAAAGGAAGTCTTGGGGTAGTTGGCATTTGGCCTCTGTAAGTTGAAAGTTGTTTCAGTTTTTCACTTATTTTTCCTTTCTGTCAGTGGCACACCTGCTCCAAGTACATCTTTTGTTGCTTTTCTTGCCCCCATCTTCACTCCCTTTGGCCCTGGAAAATTATCTCTTTTGCCACCCAGCCTCTCTGTCTTCGCCATGTCACAGAGAGAGAGTCAGAGATAACACAGTGAAGAGCTGGAGGAACACAGCAGGCCAGGCAGCATCAGAGGAGCATGAAAGTTGACATTTCAGGTCAGGACCCTCCTTCACCATGTCACAGACCTCCTTTTGTCCTTCGTACCAGCAAAGGTTAGGTTTGACAGTGTACTGCTGGCTGTTGAAGTGTACATGGAAACTAGTGGTGTACTTGAGAAATACAAGGGGTCAAGGATTGATACAGAGGCCCACCAAAGGTGAAATTGTGGGAACAGGAAGCAAAGCCACTGCAAAATGATTCCCTAACTGTGAGTAGACAATATCAGAATCCAGAGAGAGCAGTGCCACCCAGGTACAAAACAGTGGAGAGATGTATCAGGAAGATGATGTAGTCACAATATCAAAGACTAGTCAAGAAGAAGCTAGAGGAAGAATTTATACCTGTTGCGTCTCTTGCATCAGTTATCATTTGTCACTTTGATGAGGGCTGTTTTGGCATTGTAGAGGGATTGGAACATAAAGTTGGGGAAGGTGACAACAGATTTGGGAGCAGCAACAGCTTAAAGCACTTTGGTTAGGAATGAGGGTTAGATGGGCTATTGTTTGCTGGGAGAGTGGTATGAAGCCTAAGTTTTTGTTTTTGTGAAAAGGGCCAATTTGGAAATGAGGACAGTGAAGGGAGAGACCAGTTTGCAGTATTAGGGAACATAATCTCAAGTGAAACTTGAATTCTCCAACTTTGCGTTAAGTTTATATTCTCACTGAGAATTGAACAGAAAGACCCAGCATTAAATTTGTTCTTTATCTTTCAGAATCAGTTGGGCATCCTATGGGCAGGATTGGAAGAAATGGAAAAGGCACAAACCTATCTCGAAGATGCGGAATCTCTTTACAAGCAGTACACCAAGGAGGTAAAGTCTTCATTTGATGGCAGGTGGATGCTAATAATCAATATGTCTGGATTGGTCAATGCAGTGACCACTGAGTGGGGGCATTGCTCAGTGCAGTGACCACGAGATGGGAGCATTGGTCAGTGCAGGGTTTGTGCATGTGTGGAGTGGGGGATTGGTCAATGCGATGACTGTTCATAGATGCATAGCTTGATATAGTGCAGAAAAGGCCCTTTGGCCCATTGAGTCTGCACTGACATAACTTCCACTAAAAGTGTGCTAATCCCAATTTCCTGCACTTGTCCCATTTTTATGAATGACATTTGAAGTACTCATCCAAATATCTTTTAAAGGTTGTGAGGTTTCCAGCCTCCACGACCTCCCCAGGCAGTGCATTCCAGATTCACACCGCCAACTGAGTGAAAAAGTTCCCAAACCACCCCCCGCCCCCGGCCCCGAATCTCCTCCCCATACCCTAAAACTGTGCCCTCTCATGATTGATCCCTCAACCAAGGAGAACAGTTGCTCTCTATTCACCTTGACCATTCCCCTCATAATCTTATACACCGCAATCATGTCCCTCATCAATCTTCTCTGCTCTAGAGAAAACAATCCAAGCCAATCGTCTCTGCTTATAGTTCAGTTTCTCCATCCCAGGCAACATCCTGGTGAACCTCCTCTGTACCCCCTCTAGTGCTATCACATCCATCCTGTAGTGAGTTGACCAGAACTGCACACAGTACTCCAGCTGCAGCTTGGCCAACACTCTGTACAACTCCAACATTATCTCAGATAACAAGATGTA